GTGCTGAAGGAGAATCTGCACCGCCTGCAGTGAAGCCAGATATGCCGCCGGTGCCTCTGAGAGTGGGTCTATGAGTCCCAGACCCCCTAGCGCAATTGGCAGTGTCCCCTGCCTCCACACCAAGCTCTGCTCCAGTTCCTTGCTCGGTGTGTGTAGGTGCGCCGCTTTCAGCGCTGTCCACAGGAGCCTCTCGCTCCATTCCCTCCATTCTCTGCGGGGGAGTACGTCCGCGGGTGTTGTCCGCAGGAGGTACGAGATCCTGCGCGAGATGCACCGTGAGAGGAGTAGCAGTGCGTGTTGCGGGTGGAGTTTGCCGATGAGCCCCAACGGTGCTGCTGTGGCCTCGAGTGTCCCCCTGATGGTGCGCTGGCAGAATGGCGTAGTGCCTATAGGGCTCCCTAGCACTCGAACTCCGTCCACTGCTGTCGCCAGGCCTTCCGGGAGTTGGCCTGTAAATCCCGATGGGCTCCACGGACGATTTGGTGAGGTTGCATCGTAGGCCGCAGGCTCCCAATTCGTCCCGTATCTTGTTTAGCGCCCTTGATGCCCTCGCCGGATCGCCCACGATCGTGATGTCGTCCGCGTACGCCATCACGGTCACCGTTGGATCTACCTCTGCCGCCGCTAGGATCACCGGTTGGCCGCGAATAGCATTGGTCCTAGCGGGTCTCCCTGCCGCAATCCCCGTGCACTGTTGATGTGAGGTATGTCGAACCCGCTATCCAGCAGTAGTTTCGATGGGGCGCCGTAGAGTGTACGTGCTAAAGGCAAGAGCGACACCAGGCCGGTCCATTGAAGTGTCGAGAGGAAACTTCTGCGTTCCACCGAGTTGAACGCGTTTTCGATGTCTAACTGTAGGATTACCCTCGAGGGTTCCTCCGCTACTAGCGCCCTTGCCGAGTGAATGATGCACTCCGCTCCTCCAGGTACCGCCACTCCAAACTGGACGGGTAGAAAGTACTCCCTGATTTCCCCCGCCAGCTCCTTTAGCGCTGCTTTGGCCGTCACTCTGAGCAGTGCCTCCCCTATCGCGATCGGTCGTACACCTCCATCCGGCTTTTCCAAGGCGATTAGCCGGGATGGGAGCAGTAGCTCCTGTACCGCCTCGTTCTGGTAGGTGCTTAGCAGCCGATTAACTATCTTGTGTAGGAGGGCGAAGACCTCCCAGTTGGTTAAGGCAGGGTCGCGTAAGTGCTCGAAGCACGTCCCAGATGGCCCTGCTCCTATCCCGTTTGGGCATTTTGCCAATACTTCGCGAAATGACTCAACACTGATTGCGAGCTCGGAAGTTGCATAACCTGCGGGACCCTCCGGTGTCGCCAACTCTTGGTTTGGGTGTTTAGATAGGAGAGCTTCCAGCGTAGTTTGCGAAGGCTCGGCAAGTGGCGAGGTGTGTAATGCTGCTGTTGCTTTCGCCAGGTTGGCTTTCCGTACCAGTCCTTCTGCTCTGGCGCAGATCCCTTCAGGGTCCGGTTCGTGCCTGTCTGGTTTTGAATTTGGGGGGAAGGTGCTGGCCTGGGTGTACAGTGCGTCCCACTCCTCTTCTCGGAACTGTCGAAGTCGAGCCTCAACCGCCTGCCACCTGTTTCCCGGGGCTGTCTCCATGCCTGCCCGTAATGTAAGCCTGGGGAGAAATTGCAACATCCGACGCACCGAGGCAATCTGGATGCTTCGATAGTCGCATGAGTGGTACGGTCATGCAGTTGCAGTGAGAATGAACTCACCACCAAACAATGAGGAGAATGGGCTCCTTGCCCTTTTATACTAGGAAACTAGGCAGAAATGGCTAAGGACTAGGCTAGGCTAGGAAACTAGGCTAAAAATGGCTAAGGACTAGGACCCAAGGGTCTCTCTCTCTCTCTAATGGTCCTTGTATTGATATAGCAGCAAAGTACAAGCATGCAAGTTATAGAGGCATAGGCAACAAACAAGCAAAGCAACAAATCTTACCGACTACCTCATCTAGAGCTCCAGGAAGGGCTCGACCACCGCAAAACAGTCCCCTAGGTTCAGCTCCTGCCCAATACCGCCTACAAGCGGGTTCTCTGCTGCTGCCGCCTCGCCTAGCTTGAGTAGGAGGCCCACAGATTGGGCCCTCTGAAGGGCCACCGACCATCTCTGTCTGAACTGGTGCAGAGACTTAGCGTCATGAAAGGATTTAGAGTCGGCGTTGAAGTGGCGCCGAGCCGCCGTGTCTGCCAAGAGCTTCAAGAAAACCGGTACCTCGGCGCATGGGCAGCCGTAGGTTTCCACAGCTAGAGGGAAGAAGCCAACTGTCTCCGGTCGGTTTGCGTAATGCTTCATCTTTTTGTCGGCCTGCTCTCGTGCCGCCCAACCCCTGCCTTTCTGTGCCTCAGGGTCCCTTGTGCTGATGGGGTCCGTGATGGTAACATCACAGACATAGACCGCCCCGCTTCTTCTATCTGTCATGGTGAAATCGGCCGTCTGTTCTTCGATGGGGCAGTGGGCGGCCGACTCGCTGTGAACTATAAACCCCGCATCCTGCGCCATCCTAATGCATGCGTCCCGCAGCTCGTTGTGGGTGTTAATGCGGTGCTTGCCCGTGCCGCAGCGGAAGAGGTGATTTGGGAGGCGGGGGTCGGTGATAGATGTGTGGTCAGAGCAGTCGCAGTTCTTTGGCGTTGAAAACGGGAGCCCGAGCCGAAAGCGCACGGAGTTGGCAAAGTGTACTGGTCCTATCCGTCTGTTTGGGGCAATGGGGATCGCGGTCAGCCAGTCACCGGTGCCATATCCCGTCAGCGAGAACATGCGCTGCGTATGGCCTGAGAGGGGGTTCGGCTTCATGCGCCTTGTGCCCTGCACCTGCACGGCGTATCTGCTTCCATGGACCTTCAGGCCGAGTACGTGTTGTAGCCGAAAATCCGACCGTTTCAGTCGCTCCTTCTCCAGGATCTCCCGCACATCCCATGGCAATGCAGCTTCGCACTCGGTAAGCCATGTGTGTAGTGGTGTGGTATCATCCCGTGGCAGGAGCATGTGATTCCAAGCTTGGATCAAGGCGTTGTTTGGTTATAGCGCGAGGGAGGAGAGAAAGAGCGCCGCCTGGGTGAAACTCGCCGTGTACCCGTACACCCCTTCTATTAAGGGGTCCGTGAGGCCTATGCCACCCAGTGATGGTGGCAGTGACGCCTGCGCCCATACACGAGCCTGCTCGGATCCACACGTGGGGACGCGGATATCGCATGACACTAGCAGAGCGATGATCAGGTCCCGTCCCCACTGGCTCCAAGTATCGCGAGGGAGTAGGTGGAGGGGTGTCGTTCTAGTGAGATAAGCCACACGCCTGGAGATGCAGCGGGTAAGTAGCAGAGAAGCTACCTGAGGGTCAGCTCGTTCAAGGAGGTGTAATGGCTTCGCCATCTCTTCTAGCTGCCCTGATAGGAATTTGGCCGCTCCCGTATCGGACCCCAGGTAGCTTCCCAGAAGCCGCACGCCCTCCTTTGAATACGGAACGCCGTGTGGTAGCTGCGCCTGTTCTACCGTGGGCGCACTCCAGGCTGCGCACTTCTGCGGGTTATGCGTTAGGCCTATGTGGGCCAATTTGTCGGTGAAGTACGTGAAAGCTGCTACAGTTTGTGGTGTCTCCCCCAAAAAGGTGACGTCATCCGCGTACGCCAGGCAGAGCACGTCCGGATATGCCTCGGCCGTTTCGCGGAGTATGGGGTGTATCCCCGCTGCAAATAGTAACGGGCCGAGTGGGTCGCCCTGGCGAACACCGCGTTCGCTTTTCAGTGGTTCGCTGCTGAAGTTGGCGTCCAGGTGCAATAGCGACGGGTTACCGTAAGTCAGATGAACTAACGGCAGCAGAGGCGAGAGGCAGGGCTCCTGTAACGCTGTTGCGATGGCTTGTCGTGAAATACTGTTGAAGGTATTTACCAAGGCGTGCAGATGGGTGCAGATCGTTGCATTGGTTACGGCCGCGTCGCGCAGATGTTCAAATGTCGTGCCTGACGGACCGGCCCCCACTCCGTTTTCGCACCTTCCCAACATTTTGGCGAAGTCGGCGTGGGTGATGGATAACTTTGCCCCACCCGTCGCCGGCCAGGTCATCGCCTCGTGTGCAGCAGGCGGGTGTTTACGGCGGAGGTCGTCCAGGATTTCTGGGCTTGGTGTGCAGACAGGCGTTGACTCCAGGGCCAGCACGGCTCGGCGCAGACTGCCGCGTTTCGCCAGGCCTTCGGCTCGGCTGATGAATCCAGTCAAGTCAGGCTGGTGTCGTGGCGGTGGAGGTGTGTTGACCGCCTCCACCGCGTCCAGATACAACTGCTCTTATTCGCCACGCTGGAAGGCTCGGAGCCGGGCTTTGACCTGCGGCCATTTCGGTCGCTGTGGCGAGGTCTGGCGAAGTGTTAGGCGCGGGAGAAACAGTAGCAGGCGCCATCCCGCTTCGGATTCAGGGTTTCGCGAAAGGTGGAGTAACGGTGACAGTAGCGTCAGCGAAAACAGCTGACACAAAATTGGCGGTAGACGTCGTGACAGCGAGGGCTGTCGACTGTCGCTAAGTGCTGCGATGTCCCAGTTCTCGACGGCAGCGAACAAATCTACTCGCTTCGCCAGCTCGTCAGGCGAAAAATAGCGGGGGATGGGAGCGGTCTGGCGCGTCGCGACATCGGCATTGGCGGTTTGATTTCGCCGAGCACGGCCCGACCTCACTGGTGAAACTGATGTTGGAATAATGCCCGTCCGATCGGCATCGGACTGTCCCGGGTCTGCTTGTGGGCGTTGCAAGGCTGGGCTCCCTAACTCTGCTACCCTTCTCCCCGCTGTCTCCCTCGACCCGTCTTCCTCCTCAGATTCTCCTTCTTCACTCTCGGGAAGGGATTCTTTCCTATAACTTGGGTCTCTTAACTCATCCTCCTCATTAGCTGCTTCCAAGGCGTTTAAAGCCCGTCGTGCCTCTGCTTGGTACCCATTCTCCGGACCTCCACCTATCCCACTAACAGCCTGCCTCCTAGCCCCGCGGCCTCCTTGTTCCAGCGATGGTAATTGCTGGTGCTGTCGAGCCGTCGCCAGAGCGCGCTGCCGCCTGGTCGGCTGTGGTCGCCAAGCCCCAGTCGGGCCCCAAAAAGGTGACCACGGCGACGAAGCCCCCTCTACCGCCGGCTCCGAAGCCCGCGACAACAGTCTCTGAAACGACTCTTCCCCTCGTACCCGCGGATCCCCTTGCCGCCCCCGAGTCTGGCCCGTCTGCCCCTGTTGCTGCTCCGTCCGATCCGGCTGCTGCCGCTGTTCCCCTGGCTCCTCCTTTTGCGGCGCCAGCGTCTGTCCCTGCTGGGGTTGTTGCTGTTCCTGATGTCTCTGTCCCTGTCGCACCTGTTGTGTTGCCTGCCGCCGACCCCGTTGCGCCGGCTCCGTCCTCTGCGTTGTCACCGCAGGCGGCGTCCGCCACCACTGGCGGCCCGGCTCCGTTGGTTGCGCCCTCTGCGGCAGTCCAGTCTGCACCTGCTGTGATGCCGATGGCCCCGGTGGGTCAGCCGTCGCGCCTTCCGTCGCCGGACCGCCGCCTGTCTCGCCCCCATTCTCCCGCACTCCACCAGGAGCGCGAGTCGTCGCGGCGTCGGCGCGATTCTCCCCGGCGCTATCATCAACAGTCCCAGTGGCCTGCTCACACCGGCGGTCGTGGTGGCTGGAGGGGTCCCCGCGGACGCGGAGGTGGTGGGGCGTACCGCCCGCCCGTGACGATGGCGGATCTTCAGTGGGAAGTGTCGAAAGCAGTGCGCGAGGAGAGGGCCGCACAGTGCCAGAGCAGTTCGATGCACGCCTCGCCAGCCCACGCGGCTCCACGTCAGGCTGCGCTCCCCTCGGATCCACTGCCTGCTGCTGCACCCCCTCCGCAGGTTCTAGCCCCATCGCTTCCTGCTCCCGCTGCCTTGGCACCTGCTCCTGGAGCGCGCCTTCGTCTGCCGTCGGTTCCGCCTGTGGCGGGATTGGAATTTGTGGCCGCAGGAGGAGGAGCGGCGGGGGCTCGGTATTCTCCTCACGTCGCTGGTGGATCGGCGTTTCTTGCTGCCGATGAGCCGTTTCATTTCCTGGCGGAGGCACTTCAGCCTCCTCAGACACGTGTTCCTGAGGCGACGCTCGGCCAGCTCTCCCGCCTCGCGGAGAGCCTTCATGCGCTGCTGTTGATTCAGGTGCTTGCTCATGCGTCTCTCCCCGCAATTCCCGTAGAGACGTTTCATGACCGTCCGCGTGAGACGTGCTTGGATGCCGCGGACCAGCTCGCACTGCTCCTGGGGCCCGTGTTGGCTGCGCCCGCAGAGGGTGGCGCTGCGGCTGTGGGACAGCTTGACGAGGCTGTCCGGGGTTTGAGGCGACACTTGCGCGCAGATTCTGGAGCTGGCACAAGCACGCTTGTGGTCCGGGAGCTGTGGCGGACGTTGACGGGCGTTCTTCACGCCCTTGGAGCTCATCGCATGTAGACGCGGGCTCCTCTTGAGTCGTTGTTACCATTGTTGCTTAGGCCGGTGATAATGCTGCCATTGTGTGTATGACGTTGCTTGTAGTCACTCGCCTGTGTGATCCCTTGCCACCCCTCACGCGCGGCCGAAGGCGAGCGAAAAATATTATGCCGCCACACAATGAAGAAGAGAGGCCGAGAAGGCCCCTTATATAGCTGGAATAGGAGAGGGCAGAGGGCTGAGGGTAGAGGGCAGAGGCAAGAACACTCTGTCTCTCTCTCTCTCTCGCTCTCTCGAACGAGCGAAAAATATTCTGCCGCCACACAATGAAGAAGAGAGGCCGAGAAGGCCCCTTATATAGCTGGAATAGGAGAAGGCAGAGGGCTGAGGGTAGAGGGCAGAGGCAAGAACTCTCTCTCTCTCTCTCTCTCTCTCTCTCTCTCTCTCTCTCTCTCTCTCTCTCTCTCTCTCTCTCTCTCTCTCTCAAGCGGTCCTTCATTGATAATCAGCAGGGTACAGGCATGGCACAAGTGAGCCAGCAAGCCTAAACATGCAATCTAGGCAAACAACAACCAGCAAACAAGCAAGGGACAGCCACAACAGCCACATCCTAAGCATGCCCGCTGATGGCCAGGACTGCCATGCAGCCAACCTAGTGCCTAGCCCCAAGGACCACCGCCTGGGGTCCTCCTCACTCCTCCAGCTCCTCTACTCCAGCCCCCTCACCCATCCAGGTCCGGCCCCCAGTCCAGCTCGTCCTCAAGGACCTGCCAGAGGTCCCCAAGGTGTGGCTCCCACGGGTCGACTGGGGCCTGAGGGTATGCACGCTCAGTTGCCCTGTTGGACTTTGCCAGCAGGGTATTGGCCTGGCCGCGCTGGAGCATCACCGACCAGCGTTGTCGGTAGTGTGCTGTGAGCTTGGAGGCGACCGTGGTCAGCCTCCCCTGCCTGTGCTTCTTCTTGGCCGCCTGGGTGCCTAGGAGGCGTAGGAACCGCTGGGTGTCTTGTGCCAAAGCCCCATAGGTTTCTACCGCCAGCCCGAACACCCTCACGAACTCTGGGCACCCCTCGTACAGCCCTCTCTTCGTCCTTGCCGCATCCTCTGCTGCCCAGCCAGGACGCTTCACAGCCCGGGTGTCTCTACGCTGCAGCACGGGGTCGGTTATGGTGACGTCAGTCACGAAGGTCTCGGCCGACTCCCTGTCCACGAGGACCAGGTCCGCTCGCTTAGGGTTGACAATTTGCGAGTAGGCGCAGGTCTCGTGGATGGTCATGGTGTCGGCCTCCCTGGCCATCCGAAGGGCAGCGTACACCAGGCAGTTGTGCGTGTTGGTCCTGTCCCTCCCCTCCGCGCACCGCAGCAGATGGTTGGGTAGGCTACGGTCATCTATCTTCGACCGTGGCTTGCCGTAGGGACACTGCTCTGTCACCGCCAGCCCCAGCCGGAAGCCAAGGGCAATGGCAAACTGGCCAAGGGAGAAGGTCAGATCCGTGCGCGTGGGGATTGCGTGCAGCCAGTCTCCAGCCCCCGTCCCCTGCAGGGCAATCAGACGGACCACGTGGCCGTTGTCCACCCCCGGCTTGTCGATCCGCGTGTCACCCACCAGCTCCGTCGCCCTGTCCAGGTTCCCTTGCTTGGACAGCCGTTCCTGCAGGTGGCCCTTCTTCTCCCTCCCCCGTCCGGCCTCCCGCAGGATTTCACGCGCTGATTCGGGGAGCCTGTTCCGCAGATCTTGCAAGGTCGTCCTCCCCCCACTCGCCCCCCCCTCCTCGTGTGGCGACAGCAGCGCCGCCACTCGTTGGAGAGGGTGGACCTGTATGTCGGCTCCTTGCAGCAGCAAGTCCTGTGCCGCGCTCAGCGATGCCAAAAACGCTGCAGGGGCCTCCGAGAGGGGGTCCACCAAGCCAAGCCCGCCCAGGGCGATCGGCAGCGACGCTTGCCTCCACACGAGGCTCTGCTCTATCTCCTTCGCCGGCGTGTGTAAGTGTGCCGCCTTGAGCGCCGTCCACAGGAGCCTCTCGCTCCATTTTCTCCATTCCCTTAGTGGGAGCACATCCGCAGGCGTGGTTCGTAGCAGGTACGAGACCCTACGGGAGATGCACCGTGTCAGCAACAGCAGTGCGTGTTGGGGGTGGAGCTTGCCGATGAGCCCAAGCGGTGCTGCTGTAGTCTCCAGCGTCGCCCTCACCACCCGCCTGCTATACGCCAACGTGCCAATTGGGCTCCCCAACACCTTGATACCATCCACCGCCGCCACCAGTCCTTCCGGTAGGTTTCCCGTGACCCCTGAGGGGCTCCATGCCGTGGACTTGGCTAGGTTGCACCGAAGGCCGAGTCCCAGTAGTTTGTCACACAGCATCGTGACCGCCCGTGATGCCTCCGCCGACTCGCCGATCACTGTGATGTCGTCCGCATACGCCATCATGGTGACGGTGGGAACTGCGGCCGCCGTCGTGAGAAGGGCCGGCTGTATCGCCGCAGCAAAGAGCATGGGGCCGAGCGGATCCCCCTGGCGCACGCCGCGTGCGCTGTCGATTGAAGGCGCTGTAAAGCCACAGTCGAGTAGGAGCCTTGAGGGTTTGCCGTATAGGGTGCGTACAAACGGTAAGAGCGGGGTGAGGTCTGTCCATTGCATTGACTCTAGGAAGCACCCCCGTTCTACTGAGTTGAAGGCATTCTCTATGTCCAGTTGGATCGCAATTCTTGATGGATCTTCGGCGAGGAGCGTGCGGGTCGTGTGAATGATGCACTCGGCCCCACCGGGGACGGCGACGCCGAATTGAACCGGGAGAAAATACCCGCGGATCTCCGCCGCGAGTTCGCGAAGTGCTGCCTTGGCCGTGATTCTAAGAACCGCCTCGCCAATCGCTATGGGTCTCACGCCCCCGTCCGGCTTCTCGAGCGCTATCAACCTGGCTGGGAGCAGGAGGTCTTGCAGCTGCACGTTCTGGTACGCGCTAAGAAGCCCGTTTACTACTTTGTGGAGCTGCACAAAAACCTCCCCGTTTGTTAGAGCTGGGTCACGGAGGTGTTCAAAGCACGTGCCTGATGGGCCCGCTCCTATTCCGTTCGGGCACTTCGCCAGTACTTCGCGGAAGGATTCCGCCCCAATGGCGAGCTCGGACGTGTTGTAACCTCCGGTAACCTCGGGTATCGCCGATTCCGCCCGGGGGTGTTTCGTGCGTAGTGTCTCCAAGGTTACCTGCGACGTTTCCGCCAGCGGCGAAGTTCGCAGCGCTGCCACCGCTTTCGCCAGGTTTGCTTTCCGAACCAACCCCTCCGCTCTGGCACAAACACCCTCCGGGTCCGGCTCGTGACGGCTGGGTTTGGAGTTTGCCGGGAAGGTGCTAGCCTCTTTGTACAGTGAGTCCCAATCCTCCTCGCGAAATTGCCGGAGACGTTTCTTCACCCCTGCCCACCGATTCCCGGGGGTTTTCTCGAGGTTCGCCCGAAGTGTCAGCCTCGGGAGGTATTGCAAGATTCGCCACGCCGCCAGGCAACTCGGAAATTTCGCTAGTCGGAGGAGTGGGAGGGTGAGGCAAATGCTGTAAGTTTTCAGGATTTCGGGTGGAAGCTTCCGGACCAAGAAGGGTTGCGCGCTGGACTGCAGTGGCCCCAGATCCCATGCGTGTACCCTCAGCCACGTGCCCTCATCATCCACGATGATGGTGGGATTACGCTCCTTGCTGGCAGCCTCGTTGGGCTGCTGCGGTGCGGATTCCCCCACGTCAGCACCCTCCTCTCTCCGTCCCTGTCCAGACCCCTGTCCCCTCTCTGTGGCTGGGATGGGCACCCCACGTTCGGCCTCCAACGAGGCATCTTCTGATTCCGCCTCCTGTGATGCCATATAGTCTGACCCTTCCTCCCCCTCTTCTTCATTCATTGGCTCCTCACCCTGTTCCTCTGGCCTCCCATGTCGTTCCCGCCAGAAACCAGATCTGGCTTTCTCCCTCGCCACAGCTCCCGCCAGATCTCGGCTGCCTCTCCCCCTGGTCCGCCCTCTCCCCCTGCCTCTACCCGCCGCCCTCGATGCCGCGTTTGACGGCTGTAGGCCTGCCGCGCGATCGTCGGCCTGGTCCTGCAGTGCTCGCTGACGGCTCGTTCCAGTCCTCCGCCTGCGTTCTGCCTCCGCCCGGCGTAGCACTTCCTCCTCCTGGTCCGCTCCCTCCGCCAGGTCGGCATCCTCCTCACGGGTTTCCTCCGCCGCGTTCACCGGCCGGCCGGATGACAGGCAAGCGGCGGCCTCCTCCTCAGCCGGACCGTCCGGCAAGTCCTCTTGCCTCTCCCATCCCGCCAGGGGTCCAGGGCGGGCAAGTCCCAGCCCTGCTCCGAGCCGCCGCGGATGTAGTTGCGGCCGGGGTTGGCGGCGCTGTCGCCCAGCCTCCTCCTCCCTCACCGGCTCCTCGCCAGCCGATGTTCCGGTTTTCTCGGGGACGGGCACCTCCCCAACTACGGCCTCGCGGGCAATCCTTCCGCCGCCGCCGCCCTCCTCGTCCCCAGCGCCAGTATGGGCCGCCGGCGGTCCGGCCACTGGGTCCGTCCCCTCCAAACCAGGCTGCGCAGTCCCAGCCACTGCAGCTCCCGCCCCGAATGTCCCAGTCTGTGACGTCGCTGCAGCAGACTTCGTCAGCGTCGGGGACGGCCCTTCAGCCGTTGGCGCAGTCAACTGCCTCCGCGCCTGTGCCCTCGCTGCCGCAGCCGTCAACACCGGCCTCGGCGGAGGCCCCAGCGCCGCCGCTGCCGCCGCCGATCGAGTCCGCGCCGCCCCAGACTGCGCCTCCTGTACCAGTTGTGCTTCCCGTCGCTCCTCCTCAGGCGCTAGTTGAAGACCCTGCTCCGCCGGCGCCACCTCCGTGGCGGCAACCTCGGCGTCAGCATCCCCTCGTGCCAACCGTCCCGCAGACCGCCTTCCGGTTCCCCCCTCCCCGTCGCCCTTACCCGCGTGGATGGGATTCGCCTGAGCGTCCACCAACCGCTCCTGATCCCGACCCTCACTGGGAGCCTCACCCCCCTTGGGGCGTGCAGCCGGACCTGGACGTGTGGGGCCGGCAGTGGGGAGAGGAGCCGAGCTACTTCGACCTTTGCCGGTGGGAGCAGCGGATGCGCGGTGTAGGGCGTTGTTTGTCGAACGTGGCGACGGTGTTGGAGCAGCTGAACCACGCGATTGGGCGGCGGAACCTTGCCTCACGGAACCCGCAGCTGAGCGAGTTCGAGCAGGGGGTGGTGAGGGAGGCCGCTGCTCAGGCGATGTCGACGATGCTGTGCCTGCCCCTTGAGCCTGAAGACCCGTCGCTGAATGAAGGGCCTGGAGCGACTGCTTTCCGCAGGGTAGCCATGGCCGCCGAGGAGGCGCCCCTTGAGATAGTACCCGCCCTCGCGGTTGCGCTCCGTTGGATGGATCGGCGGATGTTCCTGATTGCTCCCGACCCGTAGGCGTTGTTGTACCCGCTGCCGCCTTTGTTTGTTGTTTCTTCCTCCCCATTGCTGGGGACTTACCTTGCCTGTAGGTGTGTTAGGCAGTTACCACTGCATGGTGTGATCCGTGCCTTTATAGTGTTTTCCCCCTTGATGTCCTTGTCACGCCTCACGCGCGGCAGTGTGAGCTCACCAGTGAATAATGGGGAGGAACGGGGTCACCTAGGCCTTATATACTAGGGAACTAGTCTAAAAACGGCTAAGGACTAGACTAGGCTAAGAAACTAGGCTAAAAACGGCTAAGGGCCAGAACCCAAGGCTCTCTCTCTCTCTCTCTCTCTCTCTCTCTCTCTCTCTCTCTCTCTCTCTCTCTCTCTCTCCCTCTCTCTCTCTCTCTCTCTCTCTCTCTCTCTCTCTCTCTCTCTCTCTCTAATTCTGAACCAATTCTCGCTCTTACCCTCTCTCTCAAGCAGTCATGTATTGATAGAGGTCATAAGGTACAGGCATGGCAGAGCGGAGGTAACTACCTGGTCTAGGCAAGCATGCAAGCGAATCGGTAGCTATGCTAGCAAGCAAAACGAGAGCAGACAGAACAACCGCCAAATCAAATACCCACAGAAACCCCAGGCCCTATCAACCCGCACATCCTCCTCCTGCCCTGGCTAGTCACGGCTCCCCTGACTTGCCCCTGCCCCGTGCCCTGTGCTGTCCACCCCTCAGGCCTCCTCCTTGACCTCCCCCTGAACTGCCGTCAGCTCCCTCTCCTCTCAAGCCGCTACAGCCGGGGACCTCCTGTCCTCGTACTCATCCTCTAGCGTCTGCCATAGGTCCCCAAGCCGAGGTGCCCATGGGTCTGCCGCCGTCTGTGGGAAGGCTGCTTCGTCGGCTCGGTTCGACTTGGAGAGGAGGGAGACAGCCTGGCTACGCTGGAGCAACACTGACCACCGCTGCCTGTAGTGTGCGTTGAGACGGGCAGCAGTGGTCGTTAGGCGCCCTTGCCTGTACTTCTTCTTGGCCGCGTAGGTGGCTAGCAGCCTAAGGAACTGCACTGTATCCTTGGCCATCGCCCCATAGGTCTCTACCGCGAGGCCAAAGAGACCTGCATAGCCAGAGCGGCCCTCGTAGAGTCTGTGTTTCCCCTCTGAGGCCTCCTCTGCTGCCCACCCCGGAGGCTTTCGCGCCCTCTTATCACGCCGCTGCAGGACTGGGTCAGTGACTGTGACGTCTGTGACCCACGTCTCACCCGACTCCTGGTCCCTGATGGCCAAGTCTGCCCGCTTCCGAAGGACAGGGGGGGGAAAGGCCGACGTCTCATGAAATGTCTTGTACCCTGCCTCTCTAGCCATCTCCACATCGCAAGAGGTGGTTGGGGAGGCTCTTGTCATTAATTTCTGAGTTTCTCCGCTTGCAAGGGCAGACCTCAGTGACCGGCAGCTCCATGCCAAGGCGGAGTCCTAGAGCCAGCAAGAATTGACCAGGGGAGAAAGTAAGGTCGCCTCGTTGGGATGGCATGCAACCAGTCGCCCGCCCCCACCCCCTTCAGGCTGGTGAGACGGATGACATGCCCTCTGTCCTCGCCCGGCTTGTCCTGGAGGGTGTCCGCCAGGAGTTCGTCTGCCCGCCTCTGGTTTATGGTCTTTGATAGCCCCAGCTGCAGGTTCCCTGTGCCCTGTGCCCCGGTCCTGTACTGCTCCAATACCCCCCGTGCCTCTGCAGGAAGGCCAGCTTCTATGGTGGTCCTAGGGTTGAATGCAGGTGGTTCAGGTGTCCACTCGTGGGAGAGTAGCACTGTCGCCCTGCTCAGCAGACCATCCAGCGGCAGGTTCAGCTGCCTCAGGAGTGTGTGGGCTGCTGTGACAGAGGCGAGGTAGGCTGCGGTCGCCTCGGAGGTGAGGTCGATGACTCCTAGGCCGCCTAGCCGCACGGGGAGCGTAGCTTGGCGCTACAGGAGGCTCTGCTCCAGCTCCGAGGTTGGTATCCGCAGCTTTGCAGCTGTTAAAGCCGACCCCACCAAGGCCTCGCTCCACTCCCTCCATTCCCGAAGGCTCAGTGTCGTTGCTGGCGTCGTCCGCAGCATGTAGGAGATCCGCCTAGAGATGCTGCGGGAGATCATGAGGAGGGCGTGTTGCGGGTGCATCTGCGAGATGAGGAGGAGTGGCGCGGCTGCTTTTCCAAGGGCGGTCCTGACGGGCTCCGTGCAGAAGGCGGCATCTCCAACCGGACTGCCCAATACTCGAATCCCTCCCGGGTCCGCCGTCAAACCGTGTGGTAGCTCCTCGGGTTGCGGCCCAGATTCCCCTCCCCATGCCGACGACTTGTCCACGTTGCAGCGGAGACCGTACGTCGCGAGCGTCGTGGCGATCGTGCTAAAGGCGAGGCTGGCCGCCTCCCGTGGGCCGACTATCGTGATGTCGTCGGCATAAGCGACGACCGCCACCTCCGGCAGCATTGCCGCTACACTCAGTAATGCCGGCTGGATGGCGGCTGCAAATAATAGAGGGCCAAGTGGGTCCCCTTGGCGAACCCCGCGCGAGCTGTGGATGTAGTCTGTGCCCAGGCGTGGATCCACTAGGAGCCGCGATGGCCCGTCATAGAGGTTGCGGACCAATGGGAGTAAGGGGCTGAGGTTAGACCACTGGAGCGCGCCGAAGAACGCCACCCGTTCTACGCTATTGAAGGCGTTTTCTACATCCAGTTGCATTGCGATGCGGTTGCTGTCGTCCTGGAGTAGAGCCCGAACCGAGTGTATGATACACTCTGCGCCCCCCTGAACCGCCACCCCAAACTGTACGGGGAGGAAGAACTCTCGGATCTTGGGGCCGAGCGCGTGTAATGCTGCCTTCGATGCTACACGGAGCAGGGCCTCCCCAATCGCTATCGGTCGCACCCCTCCATTTGGCTTCTCCAGTGCAATGAGGCGCGATGGGAGGAGCAGGTCACGGATCGGACTGCTAAGGAGGCGGTTTAGTAGCTGGGTGAATAGGATTAGGATCTCCTCGTTAGCTAGCGCGGGATCCCGAATGTGTTCGAAACAAGTTCCTGAAGGCCCTCCGCCCACCCCATTCGGGCAACTCGCCAGTATTTCGCGAACAGAGTCAATCGGTGCCGACAGCTCCGACGAGGTGGTGCCTGTTACCCACGAAGGGATGTCGCACGTACCCGGGGGGTGTTTCGCGAGGAGGGCCTCAAGTGTGGCGGGGGTTGGTTCTGCCAGGGGACTGGTGAGTAACGCGGTTACTGCCTTGGAAATGCTGCCTTTTTTCATAAGGCCTTCAGCCCTTGCACAGAGGCCCTCATCGTCCGGTTGGTGTCTTATCGGGGCATCCGTTTCGGGGATGGTACTTGCTTCCTCGAAAAGTTCCTCGAAGTTGCCGAGTTTGAATTGGTGCAGCCGAGCCTCGATCCGAGCCCACCTGCTTCCAAAAACCGGTTCGGGAGGTGGGCGCAGGGTCAGTCTCGGCAGAAATTGGAGAACCTTCCAGGCACCCGCGCAGTCGGGAAATTTCTTCAGTCGAAGGAGTGTTGCCAGCAGGCAAAGGCAGTAGCTGTCCAGGATCTGAGGGGGTACGAGGCGAACCAAGAAGGGCTGGTCTCCACGCTGCATCTGGGTCACGTCCCAGTCCCCCGCTGTCTGCCAGATGGCTTCGACGTCTGCCAGGTCGGCCGGCGATGGCACATCCGTCGCCTCGGTGGCAGGCAAAGGCACAACCGTCGCCTCGGTGGCAGGCGCTCCTTCATTGTTAGCCAGGGGGGGGGGGGGTGGGGGAGGGGGGTTTGGTGGGTTACCACCCGGGGCCCTTCGTCGCCTGTTGGGTGTGTTCCTACCCTCTCCCTCCTCATCCTCCAGTGAGACATCCTCTGATTCCTCCTCCTCCCCGCCCATAAACCCGGGGTCATTCCCGGAGTTGTCAGAGTCTGCTGCCTCCTCATTCGCTGGAGCAGTTTCAAGTTTTGGCCTATCGTGCCTCTCCCGCCAGGGCCCCGCCCGCACTGGGAGTTCAACCCTGCCCACGATCGTTCGTCCCCCGCGGGCTCCTCGTCCTCCACGCCCGCCACGCCCAGCGGCCCCACGCTCTCCTCTCCCTCTGCCCGTCGGGGGTCTCGTGCTACCCGTAGTTCCGCCCCGCCCGACCGGCATCCACGACGTTCGGCCTCCTCGCGGCGGTCCCCAAGTCACCGCTCCTAGTCGTGGCGAGCGCCGCGTGTTTTGTGGTGCTGGTGCCGCCGTGTTTGCCGCTCCCGCCGTTCCTGTCACTTCCGCTTGTTGTACCGCGGGACCTTCAGCCTCATCCACTTCAGCGTTGATCACCGGGCGATAGGAAGATGGCGGCGGATGCTCTGGCTCTCGTGGCGGCTGCCCTTGCAGCAGCCAGCCCAGGAGGGGTCCCAGGGCGCCAGGTCCCAGCCCTGCTCCAGGCCGCCTCGGTGCTGGCTGGACGCGGAGCCTTTTCCCCGTCTTCCCGCGAGCGGCGCAAGCAGCGGCGCCGGTCCCGGGACCCAGTCTTCCGCTCCCCGCCTGGGCGTGCCCCTGCTTGTTTGCGGCCGCGGCAGCAGTAGACGTTCCGGCGGACGCAGCGGCATTCGGCGCAGTCTCTTCATTCGGGGGTCGCTCCGGTCGCCTCACTGCCTTAGCCACGACCACCGCGATCTCCGCCGCCCCGAGTGGTGACGGCGAATCTCCCAACACCGTCTGTGACTCCTCCCCAGCCCTGCTCTGGCCCTGGTCCCCTGGTAGCGGCGGCGCATTCGGGCGCTCAGCCGAGGGTGAGGCTGAGCCATCGTCAGAGGCGGCAGCAGTCCCAGCAGCAGACCCTTCCCCCACAGCTGTCGCCTTCCTCACCGTCACCGTCACCCCAGCCGCAGCGACCGCTTCCGTCTCCGCCAGTGGCACCACCTCAGACTCAGCAACCTCAGCAGCCCCCCCCCGAACCCATTCCCGCTACCCCAGCCTCAGCTGCATCAGCCGCCGACTCCTCGTGTGCTGCTATTTCCTCCCGTCCCCCCAGCTCCTCGTGCTCCCGCTCGTGTTGCGGCAACGCCTTTCCACGTCGAGCAGCGCGTAATGCACGTGGGGACGTGCTTGACTTTGTTGTCATACGTTCTGGACCAGCTCCACGTGTGCTTGGCGCGTCAAGGCGTCGAGGTTGGGGGGATGTTGCCGTCGGAGCAGTCAGCAGCGGTGTCCGCGGCAACGGAGATGCTACAGTATCTCCCCCTGATCGGCCTTGTCCCTGGTGCCCCTGGTGCAGCGCTCGGGCCCGGGCCTGGGGCGATGGTGCGGCTTGCAGAGTCCGCCCAGCAGGCCCCGCTCGGCCTTGTATCAGCAGTCGCATCCGTCCTGCGTTGGATGGACGGGAGGCTGTGCTGGATACTCGCCGAGTGACAGGTGTTTTCCCCTTGCCCGCCCCTTTAGTACTGGGCTTGGCCTTGGGCTTCCCCATGGCTGGACCGCCACGCCCGGGGGTGTTGATTGTTGTCTGATGTTGCTAGTGGTCCATGTTGTACCCCTTGCTTTTATAATCCTTGTCTGTGCTTCCTCCTTGCCACACCTTGAAAAACGGCTAAGGACTAACCCCAAGCCATCTCTCTCTCTCTCTCTCGCTCTCTCTCGAACGAGCCGCCGGTTTTTGGGGAGTAAACTGAACTCACCAGTGAAGAATGAGCTCAAAAGACTCCTCACTAGGTGCTTTAGACTAGGAAAACAGCCCTGGAAGCGTCTAGGGACTAAGGACTAGGCAGGAGAGGGTGAAAAACGGCTAAGGACTAACCCCAAGCCATCTCTCTCTCTCTCTCTCTCGCTCTCTCTCAAACGAGCCGCCGGTTTTTGGGGAGTAAACTGAACTCACCAGTGAAGAATGAGCTCAAAGGACTCCTCACTAGGTGCTTTATACTAGGAAAACAGCCCTGGAAGCGTCTAGGGACTAAGGACTAGGCAGGAGAGGGTGAAAAACGGCTAAGGACTAACCCCAAGCCATCTCTCTCTCTCTCTCTCTCTCTCTCTCTCGCTCTCTCTCAAACGAGCCGCCGGTTTTTGGGGAGTAAACTGAACTCACCAGTGAAGAATGAGCTCAAAGGACTCCTCACTAGGTGCTTTATACTAGGAAAACAGCCCTGGAAGCGTCTAGGGACTAAGGACGAGGCAGGAGAGGGTGAAAAACGGCTAAGGACTAACCCCAAGCCATCTCTCTCTCTCTTTCGCTCTCTCTCGAACGAGCCGCCGGTTTTTGGGGAGTAAACTGAACTCACCAGTAAACTGAACTCTCTCTCGAACGAACCGCTCCATGAGAGGTTCTAGTACGGCACAGCAGTCCCCAAGGTGGAGCTCGGACTGCACCCCCCCCACGGGAGGATTTTCAGCTACGGCCGCCTGGGAGGACTTGATAAGGTATCCCACTGACTGTGCTCTTTGCAGAGCCACGGACCAGCGCTGCCTGAAGAGGTGCTCTCTCTCTCTCTCTCTCTCTCTCTCTCTCTCTCTCTCTCTCTCTCTCTCTCTCTCTCTCTCTCTTTCTCTCTCTCTCTCTCTCTCTCTCTCTCTCTCTCTCTCTCGAACGGTCCTTTGTATTGATATAGAAAAGAGAAAACAGCAAAGGCAAGCAATCAAGCAACAAACAGGTATGTCTAACTATTCTCCTCCCTACCCCTTCCCCCCCCCCCCCCCCCCCCCCCCCCCCCTAGTCTTCTACTCACTGCCGTTGCCCGGTTCTAGGGTAGCAAAGCACTCCCCCGGGTCTAGGACCCCCTCGGGGCCTCCCAAGGCAGGGTTCTCCTTCTGGACTGCAAGGTTCAGCTTGATGAGGAAGCTCACGGCAGCTGCCCCAACGGCCCCTCCTTCTTCCAGTACCGCGTACAAAACTCCACCTTCTCTGTCCAGGTGCATATGGTCATTCCCACCGCAAACACGAGCTCAGTGCCTACCAACACATCAAAGTCCTCCGACTCTGAGATCCCACACTTCATTCTGATTTTGGTCTCGTGTTCCCCCCCCAGGTAGTAGAGTCACTTCTATGGATGTTCGGGTGCACGGCATCCATTTCGGTTCTCCTCCTTCTGCCGTCATCACTAACATCCCCTTCACCACGTGCCTTTCAAGGGCCATCAGCCCCATATTTTCAACCATCCCCTTGCCCAGCATCACACTCTGTGCTCTTGTGTCTATGATAGATGTCTTCACCTTCTCCCCCTCCACCTCCATCGCTCCTCCTTCCAGCAGCAGCACTGAGGTCTGACACGCCAGCCTTTCTTGTGGATGGCGTCCTGGTGGCTGCTCCTGCGCTAGCCTTTCTTCTAGATGGCGTGCTGGTGGCTGCTCCTGCGCTAGCTCGTCTGGTTTTTGTCCCTTCTCCCATTCCTTCCTGCCCTGCTCCTGCCGGCCGTCCTTCCCTCCGCTCCTCGGCCCCATCTCCTCCCTTCCCCTCCATGCCATGAGGGCACACTGCACATCGTCTTCTACCTCCTCTCCTTCCTCATCCCTGGCGTACATCCCAGCCTCGGCTTCCCATCTTGGTCTCGACGCTTGTAGCTGCGCCTGTATCCTGCTGATCTGCCGCTGCAGCTCCTCTGGGTTTCTCCTTGCCCCTCCCTCCCTCTGGTAGCAGTCCTTGGCCTCATGTCCTCTCTTCTTGCAGATCTCGCATCTGGCTGCATCGGGACATTCTCGCCTTCGGTGGCCTGGCTTCCCGCAGCCGTCACGGTTCTTGCAGTCCCTGCGAATGTGCCCTGGCTGTCCGCATCTGTGGCATGTCCTGGTGTCAGCTCTTGCTTCCCCTCGCCCGTCTGACCGCCCTCCGTTCTCAGGTATCATTGCTGCTGCCCTGGTTGGCCTGCGGCTTCTCTCCGTTGGCCTTAGCAAATAAGCTTCATACTTCTTCTGTGCGAGCTCCACCTTCTCTGCCAAGTCAAACACTTCGTTCAGGCTCGCATCCGCTCCCAGCTCATATACCCTCATCTTTAGTCCGCGTCCCAGTGCCTGTCATAATACTATCTTAGCTGGTAACCGGGTTTAAGGAGGGCCTAGGCTTAGTAGCCTAGGCCAAGCAAGTGTCGAGAGTCAATGCCAAGGGAGGATCGAGAGGGTTGACCAAACAAGTGACTTCACTAAAAGCAAAGATATAGTCGAGAAACACAAACAAGAGGTGCACCACCAACAACAAGGTAACATAACTACACTAAAGCTAAAGCTACAGGCAGTTATAAACATATGTAAAACATATATCGCGACAGCGCCTCGTCTAGGCCCCCCAGGAACTTACTGATGAGGAGAGTGTTGTCTGAGCACCTCACGTCTTCCGCTACATTGATCAGTAAGTTGTAGTGCGTCAGCAGCGACTCTGCCCGTCCTCTCCTGAAGTCCTGAAACTCCCTTATCCGCTCAGCCGTGTGTCCAGGAAACTGCCGCTGATCATTGATCTCCCAAGAATCTGGCCGGCACTCCCACCCGTGGCGCCGTGGCCGCGCTTCCCCGCCCCTCTCCGCACGATTCACTCGCTCCTCTTGACTATCTCCCATACGTTCCCCTTTCTTTGGCTCTCTCCATGCCTTCTCTGACTTCACGGGCTCGTTCTGTACCATACGCCAAGCTCCCGCTTTTGGTTCCACTCCCCCGCGGGTTCCCTATCGCCTCACTGTGCGGACTCCTCATGCTCCTGCGTCCTTCCGTCCGCTCCCGCTGCCGGCTTGGCAAGCGGTACGCCCTCTCCCATTCCTCCCGCTGTGTCTCGCGCGGTCTGTGCCGAGCTGGCGAGGGGGGCCATTCGTCCATCTCCCGTCTTCGCTGCCGATGGCCACCCGGCGAGCGCCTCTCCTCGTCACGTCTCCCTTCCTGCTGGTGGCGTGGGTCGGGCGAGCGTCACTCGCCACTGGGCCTTCTCTCCTGCTTCTGCCGGCGAGGCGAGTGCGATCCACCCCTACACCGTCCTTCCAGCTGCAAATGCGGCTCCGGCGACCGAGACCCCGTGCCTCGCCTTCCTCCCCGCTGCTGATGGCGATTGGGCGAGCGTGGCTCACCCTCCCGCCTTCCTCCTCGCGGCTGACGCCAACCCGGCGACTCTGCCCCGCCGCCGTGCCACCCTGCCCATGGCTTACGTCCCCCGGGCGAGCGCGAGTCTTCGTCCCACCGTTCCGCCTATCGACAGTGCCTTTCCGGCGTGCGTGATTGCTCTTCTCCCCTTCTTCCGCCTTGCCCATACGGCCGTGGCATGCGCGCGCCTTCCTTGCGACTGTCTCGCTCCTGCTCAGGCGAGTCATCCGAGAGACGGCCTCCCTGACGGCCGAGGTGCTCCGCGCGATGTTCTTCCCGCGTGTCTCTCGATTCTTCTGCTTCCGCCTCGCACGTGCCAGTTGTCTCCTCTGCCAACGCGGGTTCCTCTTCTTCAGCTCCCGCGTGGCCATCGTGCTCTTCGCCTACGTGTTCATCGTGGTGTTCCTGGTCATCATTCTCATCCTCCGCGTTGCCTTCGCGGGCCTCCTCCTGCGTCTCATCCACTGGGGAAGTTTCCTTCTTCCCTCTGGCGCCAGAAATTCCTCCTCAGCTGAGGAGAGGTTCCTCCCGACCACGCCAGCGGCCTCTGTCGTCGCGGCACTGTTCTCTCCCTTCCGGCGAGCGGAACACCCCTTCGTCACGATGGTGCCCGTGGTCGCCGCCTGCTCTGTGAAATGCCTCTCTCCGCGACGCCGCACCACCTCCCGTCGTGGCGGACCTCTCACCGCTCGCTCCTTCGTGAGTCGAGCCTCCTTCTCTTCGGACTGGCTCGATCAGGATCCGATCTGCGCGGAAAGCCGGCCTCCTAGGCGATCGCTCCAAAGACCGCCCGCGCGCACGTGAACTCTCGCGCCGCGGCTGTTCTTCCTCTCGTCGACTGAAGATCCTATCCCAACGCAGCTCGTATTTGTCCATATTTCTTTGCGTACGGTCTTGTGTTCTGTTATGAAGGGGATCTCTCCCTCACCCCGCAGGTTCCCTCCTAGAGGCGTGCCACCGTGTGCTAGAAGCTAGAGTAGCAAATTCCACTGTTACGAGAGAATAACAGAAAACAAGCGTTGAATGCATGAGACAGACTGAACTTACCCAACCCAGGCACAGGCCGCACATTTCCCA